CCGCACTGACGTGTGCACTTTACTGAGAGTGATGCTCTCTTCTGCTCCCGTCAATGCCATCCAAATGTTTCTGCGAGAGACTGACCTGAATGCATCGGCATGAGTTAAAAAAAAAAATTACAATTTTGTACTAGAGATCCTGTCGAACCCAGTAAATTAATTTGGATTATGAACAGAGTGCAAAATTCATTTAAAATAGATAGTGCAGGCTCTAATAATGCAATACAACACTTCTGTTTTAAATACTACATGAGTTAATGTACAAGGCAAATAGCTTGTCTAAAATGGTTTTCATACCATACGGTTAAATTGAAGATCTGCAACCTTTGCCAAAAATAAAAAAGTATTTTTCTTGCCTATTATTGTGAAGTGGAAGCCGCAGCAAAGGAGCACTTCCCCAAATGCGTTTTTAACACTTTTGTGAGGATATTTTAGTCAGAACATCAGTCTTACAGTTTCTCACGCAACTTATAGCATGTTACAGCTTAAAACAAGAAAGTGTTTGACATCCCTACCGCTGCAAATCGATGGACAGACATGCAGGGGCACAAATGCTCAGCTAATATTTACTCCTATATAAGAAGACAATCAAATAAACAGAATAGCATGCAGAATAATTAAGCATTAATTAGAACTAATTTCATTGCAGTGTTAGGATTTGATGGTCTTGGGTTTTCCTACGTTAAATTAAGAAGTTTCAAATTTTAGAAGCTTATTGCAGACTCGATTCAGAATGCAACAGCCTCCCTCTAGTGGAGAATAGAGGCCATTGCAGTTTATTTATTTAATTTTTTTTTAAATATATATATATTATACTAAACCTCCCGAAAAAGGTAGAGTGGTTGGGACAGCAGTGCAGTGCATGGCACTGTCACCTCACTCTTCCATGGCTGGAGGTTCAGATGTTTGTGGAGCTGGCATATTCTCCCTTTGCCGTACAGCTTTCCTCCTTGTACTCTGGTTTCCCCCCACAATAGATTGCCTTTAGTGTGTGTACATGAGTATGCGCCCTACGATGGACTGGCATGCCCCCCAGGGTGCTTTATGTCCTGTGCTGCCTGTGATAGACCCCAGGCCCCCAATGGTCCTATACTGGATGGATAGTTGGAAGATGGATTGACATAAATGTAAAGGCTAAAATGTTTCTCCTGCTTCTCCTTCCCTGTCCCTCACATGGACACGTTGGCACGTGACCCAGATCACTTCAACTCTTTTACACAACTTGCTCTCTAGGTAACCATTCAAGCCAGTTTACTTAAGCCACCACTGAGGCTGAGAGATGAAGGGTCTCCCATAGGGGTGCAGCATACAGTGTGGAATTTGGAGTGGCAGCACAAGATCACAGCCCCATTATATTCTAACAATGTAAAACAGCCCCCAACTCAAGAAGCTGAAATGCCCCCGGCAGAAGGCAGAGTGATTTTCCAGTCAGCGACAGCGAGAAGTCAGGACAGCTAAGGGTTCACCATTTCCCTCCCACCTACCTGTGGTACACAGCCTCACTTTTCCATTTTATCATGTGAGAAGGATTTCTCACTTCAGGGCCTTAAGGATTATACTGAACTGAGGTTTTGCTGGGATTAGGGCAAATCGGATTTGCTGCATGGCAGGGTTCCGCTCGCCCTGTAAACATTCTTAAAAATCCAACAAAAAAGCTACAAAAAATCGGCGAAAGACTCTTCAGTGTATGGCCATAATCTTCATTCCCTCTAAGTTTAGAGAGGCTTATCGCAATGTATATATATTTGGCTTTGTGTGCTGATATGAATGTTCTTGGGATAAACCCACCACACGGCTTCTCCGCTGGCTAGCACTGCAGATTTACTGACACACACATGTGTTTTGCTGACCCTTACATCTTTCGGGGGGGGGGGGGGGGTTCACACTAACGTAAAAATTTTTTTTTTTTCAAGGAACCCACAAACAGAAACACTGGCAGGCAGAGACACAAAGACTAAAGACTCAAAAGACTAAAAACCACAAAAAGCCCCAGGTTCCTCTTTGAAAATTTGGCTTGCTTGATGAGCCCTTGACATTTCCACCATGTACTGTAAGCTTAGTTTTGTAGAAACCACAGCAAACTCTTCCGAAATGTAAGGCAGTCATGGTGCAGTTGGATATACAGTACATCATACTCATATGGATAAACAATCTGACGAATCTCAAGGTGCTGGAAGGAGGGCAGAGCTGTTGTACCTTTGAACAGGGGCCTTAATCTGAATGAAGGTTTAAGGTATCTGGCTTTATAAACGGGTGAAAATTGCAACTTGTTGATCTTATTGATACTGGAACCAGTCATAATTGTAAATAACCAGCCAAAACCAACTCTATGTGAGCTTAACAACTTTATCTTAGGTGCAAAACTGAAAAAACCCCATGACTAACTACTATTACTACCACAGTCAGATATTCAACAGAAAGACCTAAACCAGAAATGGGTTAGATCAACCTACTCTACAAATAGTATCAGATTGGGGTAACCATAGAAGACAGAAACACTCCATAATACTCCTCAAAACTCCCAGACAACACATGCCAAGATCTCTTGGAATGCACCCTTCCCAGGAGCAAAGGAATTATGTACCATGGGATGAACATTATGAGAAGGTATCTCAAAGAAGGACAACATGCCAGACCAAAGCTTGGGGTGCCACAGCACCCTGCATCTGCTAGAGAGAGAGCCTGCATGATAAATACTCTGTGACTTCGCTGGGCTGATGCAAATTTTGAGACTATTTTGAGACAGAGGTCTGGCCCAGTCAAAATCTACATCATATCATGGACTGGGCAGTTGCATTGTTAATTCACACTCAAACCCCTCTAGGGTTAGTGATAGTTGCAGGTTAGGTAACTGATGCAGTAAGAATGGTTTCGTTGTCATAGAAGAGAAGGGAAGAAGAACCATACAAAATAATGATGCAATTTTTTATAATGAGCCCAAGGTTAAATCATAGGCAATATGAACAATCTCCATTTAAGATCGTATGCAATCAGGAAAAAAGTCTTTAATGAAATTAAAGGGATATCATTACATTCATTAACTTGGCTGCATCAGTTTCACAGATATCAAATGTGATGCAATTCCACTGACTAGTTTGACTCTCCATCAATCAGTAAAAGAGCATATTTAATAACAATAAAGGCTGATTATATTATCACATAATCGCACCATCATTCCACAGTGTATATGGGAGACTAAAATGATTTTCTGTATGTTCGTAAAAAGACATCTTCTAATGCTCTTGATCTAAATCTGGCCCTCTGGTATAGAAAAAGAACAAGTCTGGTGCATAACCAGTGATGGTAGAAAAATGACTTCATTAAACCTTATACTGAAAATTGTATTTTACATTTAGCATAAGTGTTTTCATCAACTAATTGGAACACAGAAATGACCAGTTACACTGTTATTTTATCAAATGTATATAAAATTCATATATCAGCATTGTTAGATCCCATTTGTGTAGACATTATGTTGTGTTTCTCTACAGATTTTTTTTTATTTTTAAATGGTATTTTACATACTATGCTATATATTGTTTAGTGAGGGTTTGGTACCAAAGCGTGCTCGTACCGTCATTAACCACTAGATGTCACCACTTTATTACAAAGAAATTACTTTGCTTTCTTAATCCAAAAACGTTTTTAATGCACCATTTACAGTGCAGCTGTACGATAGCAAGGGCAGATAAAAAGGTCAAGTGAGCATTCTACACAATTTAAGCATAGAACATACGTCATACAGTTGCATATGTCATATATGTCAAAATCTTAACTTTGCTTTAACCTGCAAATAATTATGGTAAACTGCAACTGATACGATACACATTTTAATAAACTGCAGAATAAAGAAGAAAAACAGAGTACTCTAGAATTAGTTGATTAACTGCTTCTCATTTGAAAAGAACAAAACAAAAAGAAAACAAAATGGCAAATAATTGTGACATCATGTTAAGAAGTTCGGTGCTGACAGACTAATGTAACTCTAGCGTATAATGAAAGATCGGATCATTTTGAAATCTGCTGAGTATTGATGGCTTTTCTACTAATACACGGACACGACAAACACAACATTTTTTCACGGAAATGTGCCATTTTTCATTATTTTTTTATTTATTCAGCATCCAAAATCACATACATTTCTTGAGAAAACAGGAGCAGACCATTCGAGGAGCAACTGAAGGTTAAGGGCCTTGGTTTGGGGCCCAAGGGTGAAATCACTTTGCCAACTTAGGGATCTGAACCAGCGACCTTCCGATCACCGCATCTTAACCCTCTGATCCTCACACTTTCCTATCTCTCAGGCAAAATGTTGACATATTTTGAAAAGGTTATGAAGATTTTGGAAAGTTCTTGTCCTATTCACCCACAAACGAAGGCAGTTATGACTACTTTCCAAAGTGTACAATTTTCTGCAGAGAATAACTGAGTTTTTTTTTTATGCGAATATATAGAGCTGAGGACATGCAGGTACAGGAAATCGATGGATCGATGGATTATATAGGTTGATGACGACAGTAAAAATTGCATTTAAATATGCCCAAAAAATTATTCATTTAACAATAATACGTAGGAACTGAGTATTTTTAAAAATCTGTCATTTTTTTACTTCGTTCAGGGTCCAGTAAAATATTCAGGAAGTATCCAAAGAGTCTGCTGCTGCCTCAGGTGGATGCTGAACATATCTGTGGGATCCAGAACCAAATAACTAAGGGTGCATCTGAAATGAGTGAGGGGGCACGATACCTGCAACCGTGTCACTGTCACCGACTGACAGACTCCCTCCTGAGGGAGCACATTATTAATCGGAGAGTGGTGTACACCGTTAGGCAACGTTGTAAGCCCCACGTCTGCTTTGTGCCAACACCACACTGCTAGACAGCTGGGTACCACAATCCGCTTTAACTTTCTTTGCATGACCGCTAAGGTATACACTGCTCTGACTGAAAGTCACGAGCCGACTAAGCACGTACATCAAATTCTGGATACAAGGTACTTACAGGACTTGCTTAGTGCTGCCCAGATAACCCCCTTTTCTCAGTCTCCAGAAACTGTCCTCTGATTTGAGTTGTCAAGGTCTCACAAAAAGTAAAAGTGCTTTGAAAGATGATGTTTTCCCCTTGACAACGGGAAGGTAAGTGCACTCAGTTTCCTTGTCCTCCGAGAACAGCATTCCAGATGAGTCAGCTGTCCTACCCCCCAAAGAATGTGCGTTAGAATAGCCAAGACTAACTGTAACTACAGTTAAATATTTTTGTTCAAATCTGGTTTTCAAATGACACTGTTATACAGTGAAGCATCTAATAATTCACATCACTATTAAGTTTTAAGTTGGGTTCAATTCTATCGCAGTTGATTCCGTAAGTATTCACAGTTGTATGCAAAGAGTTTAAAATGTAACATTCACAGTAATCTAAGTAATATGCTGAAATAAAAACTCGAGCCGTCCCATAACTTGTGATCACAAGCAAAACAAGTAAACCGCGATGCATCAAACACGAAGAGTCCTGCCTGCGATAGAAACCTGGGGCACCAAAGGCAAAAGACATGCTTCTCTTCCTTCCTACCGTAGGTCGCACTTCATACTGGATGGTCCCGACTTGTTAAGAATCCAAAAGCGATCCACTTCCAAAGTAAAGTTTCAAGTAAGACTACTATTAGTGCGCACTTCACCAGGATAGCCGCAATGTATGGTGCGTACAGTGCAAGACTGTCAATCCTCCTGCTAGCAGAAGATCTTCATTTACTCTTCGGATGAGAGACGCTTGCGCTGCGGTCCCTCCCTGTCAGACACGTGCGATCATTCACATCGTCTCCGTACGCTGTCACTTCCGTGTCAACAAAACATAGATTATTAACCTACCGCGCATATTAATACTTAAACGTGAAAGAGCCTTCCGGGATCAGTGACAGTTAGTAAGGGAAACATTTGATAACTGGAATGAATTATTTTTCACATTGTAGTGCCGTCCAACTAAAACGCGCAATGTTGGACGAAATATTACCAAGAAATAAATAGTTATTGGAAAATAAATCTTCGATGAATGGTATAAATCAGATATGAATGGAAGAAGAAGACTGTTGTTGGAGATGTCAGCAGGCAATATAAAGAACGTGGGACGGGAGTTGGCAGAGTTATGATAAAATTTATTACAGATGCCGGGGAAGGCGTAAAACTGATATTGTTCGGGGGGAATTGTGAGCAAAGAATATCACAGAATAGGACCTGAGAAAAACCATAAGAAACAACAGCAGGCAGCTTCTTGTAACACCGCATCTGAAACCGTTTACGGGGTCCGTGACGGTACTAGTGCCAGCAGAACAGCCTTAAGACAGGTAACTTCGGTCATTAGAGCATGAAACGGACATCACAACTTCTTGGTTATGATTGTGGGATGATTCCTGGGAAATATCGGTGACCACAGTGAACAACCAATCACTATATGGAATATGGATGACAATTTAACACAGAGACCTATGACTGCACATCTCAGCCCCTCACAGAGGCAGCTGTCCCGAATTGGCCGGCGAGCACTAGGCTACATGACTTAGTTTTTAACAAGTTAACCATCGTTAAAACATACGCAAAACATATGATCTCTCAACGATTCCTCTTTCTATAAACATAAACAGCCAATAACACAGTAGATGGTTTCCTATGGGGTTCCCAGACAGTGTGTGATGAAGCGCTGCAGGCTGCGCGCCTCTTCATTCCTCAGGCGGGACCTGCGGTCGGCAGATACGTGCGACGGGAGCGGCGCTTCCTGACTGCCGGCCCCGCGTACGTGATGCGGAGCACAGCCGGCGCCATCGCACGTCAGCATTCCGATTGCGGTTCAATTAAAGGGTCGATTGCATATTGACCTCAGCTTAGCGTATCAAAATGCTTAACGTGCTTCTTAAGAACAGCACCAGAATTTTCACACAAACAGAACATATGACTTGCTTATTTTTACGAACGACATGAGGCAATGGTTATGTGAGCTGTAAGTTATTTATGTATTGTGCTCAGAAATTAGAAGTACTGAATGAGCCGTGTATCCCCCAAGTGCTGCTCGTAAAGGCCCAGGCGCCAATAGTGCGGCCCCCGTGCCTATTTAACTTTTTTTCTTCTGGCTCATATATTGTCGTGCAGTCCGGGCGCCCGGTAATTACATTTTCTGCTCATGAACAAGCGTTTTCGTTAGTCCTGTGCAGATATCCTTACCTACTGCTAGAGAAATGAGGTGAGATAACCGCAATGGAGGAGACAAATTACTGGAGCTACCCTCTTTGGGCGCGCGCACCTTACGGAAGATTTAACCACTCACACAACGTTGAAATATTATCCTTAACACACACCACTATATCACAAATTTCCAATAACAACTTTTCATTTTATCTAGATGCTGAAATAAGTGAGCAAAGAAATCTGTGGTGTCATTTTGGATCCTGATGATTATTAAGAGCAATTAACATGGGCAGACTGGGCTGATTGCAAGTGTAACCCTGGTTTCTTGATGAGTGGGTAGCGTGTGCCAGTCTCCCTCTCGGGCTGTGGGTAGTAAGCGGGCTACAGTTTCTCTAACGATTACGTTTAATAATCACCAACACGGCAGCACAACACCTTCCAACTTCTTTCCCCAGCCGCTCTTCACCGTTCCCCTCTAAACCCGTCCCCCTGTGTACCAGGGCAGATAGGAACTAATAAAA